CCTTCACAAAATCTTGAAAAGGAACAACGTAAAGAGGTTTTCTATATCCTTACATCAGTAGATTTATTGTACGAACTATAATACTTTTTACTAGCAAAGCAGGTGTCGTTAACTTTTACTTGAATTCAAACGAGCCACACGACGAACCCTCTGGGGACTTTTTTTCAAACCTATCTGAAAAGAATTATGACGAAGAATATTAATCACTGCTGGAGTTCCTCATTAAATAGTTTTGTACCAGACATACGCAGAGGTGGCTTTGGTATAATGAGCTGCTTGGAGCAACACCAACAGTGGGGAACAGGTTTTCTGCGCGTGAAAAATAAAAGTCCCTAAAATATGTCAGAAAATATGCAGTACATTTTCTTATTAGTATGGTAAAATGTATTAGCATAGTAAAATGAAACAATTTGAAGCTTTTTTCCATTCTACTAGCTTGATTTCATACTTTTAGCAAACAAATTCTTTCATGTGCAAGTTACCTTTTTTGCACATGAAAACAAGGCTATGTTGTCTAGAATGCAACAAAATGATATTCAATTATATTTCAGTCCATACCATATGGTATGGATGAAAATGTGTTCCCTCATGTTTCTTCTCCTCCTTCTCCTGCCACACAATCAAATGGATTCAACTGTCATTTTTTAGCCAAATGACCTGAAATTTGGCATGGAGGTAGAGTGGGCCAATATTCCCAGGCGTTTTTTTTTAAATTTTTTTGATACATGCCTTTGAAAAAATTTTATGAAGGTTTTTTGGGGCATTTTTCAACAAAAAATGGATTTTTGGATACTGATCCCTGGTATAACAACCAAATGATCTGAAATTCGGTATAAGGGTACCTTGAACCTGTGTCTACAGAATAGCAGTCACATATCTGGCATAAATCACTTCCAAATGACTCATTTAGGGGACTTTAATGGCTATTTTCAGCCAAAAAAAGGGCCAAAAGTGCTATACCTGTTCCACGTTCAATCTAAAGAATGGCCCGTTCCATCTGCCGTTGGCCATCGAACACTGCTCGAACACATCAAACATTACGGGTTACCTGAGGTCACGTTGCACATAAGTCGTGCGCAATGACCCACACATTCAATTTTATGTGCCTAAGATCTACAATCACGACAATGGAATATGCCGACCATCCTATTATGGACTGAAATATGCTGTATTTGCTCCCAAGCAAATGTCGGCCTTTCTAGTTCTGTTTTATTTTTTTTTGTCAACTTTTTAGCTTAAAACAGCTAAAAGTTTTAAAGTCCCTTGGGAATTGGCTAATTTACATATTTTCTTGAGCAGATTTTTCACGTGCGCGCAAATTTTTGATGCGCACGAAACCCCATCCCCAACAGTGACTGTAGCCTGCTGAGGGATGGTTGCTGCAGTTTAATATGATGTAACGTTACATGTAGCTCATGAATCAGAATACCCAATGGGAGTATTGTGCCAGCAGCAGTTTCTCACATCTAGATATGTTCCAGAAAATCAAGAGTATAATTTGTCAAGTACATGATGTTGTGATTTTTTCTTTCTCTCTTCAAGTCTTATGGTTATTTTCAAATTCTTGCCTCAACTCATCAAATGCTTACCTTTATCAATTGCTCACAATCCAAAAGAAGAAACTGGGACTTGTATTAATATGTTAGACCTCTTGGTGTGTCAACCGCTGAGAATGACTGATGAAGGCATAAAGAACATCTTTCTTACGCTTCTATTTGTATGCTAATTAATCTCCAAGCAGATCTTTTGGTGGCTACAACAAGACAGTATACATGTAGAATTGGCAAAAAAGACAGTATCAAATTGGTTGGGTAGTATCCATTTGCCATGAAAGCTGGGCCAAAAAAAGATACCAGTACAAAAAAAAAGCCCTATAAAAGTGCCTAAAACACCTAATAAGTCAAAGCCTAAACCTATGCTTGGAGGGTATGGTCTAAAAGTGCACTGCTTTTTTTGATAGTTACACCATAGCACCTAGCAATATTGTGTGTGTGTTTAGTTCCACCTCTGAAAGGCCTGACACTACAATTACATAACCCCATGACCCAATTTAAATGCGGGCAAAACCTTAGGGTACGAAAACTGTGTGCGTCAAAGTTTTCCTGGGTGTAAATCGGCCTGCTTTGATGTACGTCAAGAACAGGCATTACCTCAATGGCTGGCATACGAACTGTGAACATACGTTCTTGATCATTGATATACATGTACATCAAAGGGGGCCAATTTTACACCCAGGAAAAATTTGACGTAATGTTACACAGTTTTCATACAATTGCATGCATATCATGCAGTTTTCCTACCATTAGGTTTTTGCCCAATATATATATATATATATAAATCCGGTCTATGTTGGAATGATGGACATGCAAGAAAATAGTAATCTCCAAGCAGATCATACGGTGGCAAGGCAGTATCCATTGGCCAGAGGAGTGTCCATTATATTAGCCACTCGGGTGGCCAATGGATACTGTCTGGCTTATGGATACTGCCTGGCCAATTTGATACTGTCTTTTGCGGCCACTGAAAGATCTGCTTGGAGATTAAGAAAATAGGGATGTCAGAACACAGGGCTCTCCCAGTATGTGTTAAACATATTTTCCTGGTACACTTTACCACAGTTTACCTTCCTACTCGGGTTGGCACTATATGTGGCAGCTGCAACAATCGCCACACCAGGAGTTCAAACTTTAATCATGAGTTTCCAAATTGCTACATGTTTGCCACAGGAAGTTCCTTGCTTGCATTCAGAAACCATTAAGGCCACAACAATTTAATTTGTTGGTTCTCGGATTTTTTCAGAAAAAATATGAAGCGACAGGGCGAAAAAAGTCAACACAAAAGGCTGACAAAACAAAACATTGAATTTTGAACTTTCAATCAAACCACTGCAATGATAGATGGGAAAACTGTAACAACTAGGAAGAAAAGGACTTTCCTCAACTGTTGAGGGCAAAACATGAGCATTTTTCAGTTGATTCAGAACCAGAATCATATATATTTTTTTTTTTTGCAAATCAGAAAAAAACAAAGAGGCGAATCCAAGAATCAACAAATTAAATTGGTGTGGCCTAATAATATGTACTGTGAGCAACTTTCTGTCACATTGCTGGGTTGTTAGCCGTCTCAAACTGGGATTTCACAGAGACTAGTTTTATGGTCCTAAGACGTGATGGTTGTAAATGACGGTGTCTATATAAACCTAAGAGTGAGAATAATCAGTCGCGGCTTTAAGTCCTGCAGTAGCCGTGTTTGCAGCACCTGGACTTTCTCAGGATTAACTGGGTGATGAAAAAGGACTATTCTAGGCCAGTACAAGTTAGTTACAAGGTTACAAGATTGAAAAACTTGTTCTTGCACCAGGCCATACGCCTGTACAACAAGTCTTCTCAGTAAGACTCCTAGGACACTCTTCTCTTTACTTTTATACAACAATCTACCATCTGATATGACATCTGGAAGCGAACGCTCATGTAAAGAAAATATCAAATTATGGAGTAACAAGTACAACCATGCGTCTCGACACATGGACATACCTCTCCACTGTATTTCATTATCAACTAGAGTTCCACGATCTCATACCTTCGCCAAATGAAGTTAGCCTTTATGAATAAGAAATTATATATTAATCCCCCTCATTATGCAAATAGGATCCTCAATTGCATGAATTATATCTGTTGATCATATTCTACACCAAAAGACAGTCTTATCTTAACAAAGAATGCCATCATAGCATTTCCTCATAAATTATGCAAATGTGGTCCTTATTTGAGTAAGTTATGTTTAATTATGCTCACCTTCACTTAACTTTCAAACACCCCAAGTATGAAATTCAAGGCAGTTACCACCATGCAATTATAACATTTTCTCATTAATTATGCAAATTAAGTCTTCATTTGCATAATCGATATCTGCCTGTGTTTCTCTCGTTCTTTATAACATATGTTACAAGCTTGGACTTCCAATAATGGAATGCAGCTGATTTAGAGAATTTCCTCATTAATTATGCAAATTACATTCATATTTGCATAATTGTAATCTCATTATGTCAAGCATCACTTAAGCTACCTACATACCAAAATTCACGATGATCCATCAATCGGTTCTTGAGTTATCCTCTTTTAAACATTTGTCCTTTAAACCCCCCTGCAGTTCTAGAGCAAGCAACTAGGGGGCTCAAACTCATGTCACTTTATTCGCAGCACAAGAGCTATCTACCATCCAAATTTGGTTACCCTAGCTTGTCTGTATCATGAGATATCAAAACCGGAAGTTCTGCTGCAGTACCATGACAAGCCGCCAGGGGGCCCAAAATCTAATCATTTTGAGGTCTCATCAAGACCTACCCAACTACCAAATATCAAGTCAGTCCATTTAAGCCTTCTCAAGTTATCGTGTTTACACACACACACACACACACATACACGAACGCCTCTGAAAACATAACCTTCTTGGCGAAGGTAATAATGTTATTTAAGCTAGCTTTAATTGTTGTGCATATAAGCAAGTAGGCCTACTTGTAGATTGTTGTTAAGATTGTTATTGTTATACTGCTGTTTAAGCTGTTGTTGTTATTGAATATAATTGTAGCTATTAAGTTTGTAATTGATTATATTTCATCTTTTAAATGTAAAGGACTCCAGGAAGACTAGTAAACAACCTTTGTATTACTAATGGAGATTCTTAATAAACATAAACAAACTTTTAGTACCCATAGTGAGGCATTCTGCATAGCTTTGTCTGTGTATTTCTCCGTTATGTTGTAATGTTAATTTTTATTTGCCATACAACGATTGTATAAATCAGTGTTATTCAGCTTACATGTAATGTAATGTAAATCATACATCATTTCAGCCGATAATGGCTGCTAGTCAGCCTACTGTATGTTTTGTACGATGTGTAATTTGTAAATAAACCATTCATATATATATACATGCTACGAGGCTGATTTTCTTAATAAACCTGTTAATAACCTCACGTGTAGTTATTGTACTTATCTATGTTTAAAGGTGAAAGTTACATACCTTTGCTTGAGCACCAGGTCTCACATCGTTGACTGTAGAAATCTCCAGAACTTGTCCCTCCTAAAGTCAGACAAAGAGAAGGATTGTTACAGTTAGAGCAATGCTCCATACAACCTGGCATAACAATAATATTATAAATTTATCTTGAGAGTTCATCTGTGTTGGTAGAAGTCATTATGAACAAGTTTGCAGTTCAATCTTGTTCATAATATAAATTTATGAAAGACTGGATCTGATAAGCCTGGGTACCATCCTGGTTAGTTTACGTCCACTCCCACAGTCGCTACCGAATGGTTGGTCAGTATACTGTGGGAGTGGACGTAAACTAACCAGGATGGTACCCAGGATAGGATCTGATTGAAAGGTCAGACTTGAAGTGTAACATCACTGGAGTTTGCCATGTACTATTAATCAGAATGTACACTACCAAAAATTTTTTTTCTTATTTTTCTTTTTTTCTTATGTTGAGAAATATTTTCTTGCCAGGGGGATTTTCAAGAAAATTCAAGAAACATTCTTAAAAGTTAAAAGATTTTGTATGTTGATTCTTTCACAAAGAATTTCATTCTTCTTTTTTCTAAAGAAAAGAAAATATTTCTACTATCATGCTCACCAACAAGAATCTTAAGAATTTTTAGAATTTTAAGAAAGTTTACGGTATTTTTTTCTGCTACAAGAAATCTTTTCTTGTGTACAGTATGGTTTTCTTGCTTCAAGAACAGTTAGCTCTTAGTTCCAGAAATATTTTCTTGTGGACAGAATCGTTTTCTTGGTACAGCAAGAAACTCAAGAAACACGTGTTTCTTAAATTTTCTTGCTACAGGGATTCTTAAACTTCTTGTTCAAGAATAATTTTCTTGCTATAAGATACATTTTCTTTGTACAAGAAAGAAGAAAGAAAAACAAGAAAAACATTTTTGGTAGTGTAGCACTTACCAGCACATTGGCAGAACAATTACTGCACCTGCATGTACGAAACCCAAAATGTATTGTGCATAGCATAGTACTTTGTCTCTTTTATGGCCGTATGCGCACAGTATGGCAAAAATGGCAATCGGCATAATAATGACTGGAATTTTGTCATTGGATTCAAAGACACAATGTAGCATTTCATTAAGAATTGAATGCACAAGTTGCTAATTGTCATTAGTAGAATGTGGCGGGTAAATAAAGGAACAGGTGCAAAATATGGCCACACCAATTTAATTTGTTGGTTCTCGGATTCGCCTCTTCATTTTTCTGATTTGCAAAAAATTAAAAAGATTCTGGTTCTGAATCAATTAAATATGCTCATTTTTTGCCCCCAACAGTTGAGGAAAGTCCTTTTCTTCCTAGTTGTTACAGTTTTTCCATCTATCAATGCAGTGGTTTGATTAAAAGTTCAAAATTCATTGTTTAAATATTAACCCAGCCTTTTGTGTTGACTTTATGGCTCCTATTGTACAACATGTAGCATTTGGGGCTATAATAGTATGCCTAGACCTGTTTTTATTTTTTTTTGCCCTGTCGCTTCATATTTTCTGTGAAAAAATCCAAGAACCAACAAATTAAATTGGTGTGGCCTAAAGACTCTATCTTTCAACTGCATTTTGCAGCAGGCCAGCAGCAGCAGGTGTACAGCCAATTAAGTCGTCGTGATGCTAAAATTACATGATGACATCATGTTGTTCTGTTTGGAGACCCAAAACCAATTTGGCTCCCAGAATTTCATGTAATTCAGTTTTGTAACTTATGCAACAGACAGGCTATACTATTTTTCAGTTTTGACCTTAAGTACACTGTAGGGCAGTCTAAGGTGACAGCTCTGCTAGCTGTATAATAGTATATTCTCTTTTTATCCATAGTAGACGTAGCCGATGGCTGAATAGTACACACTGTGTGGTACTTAAAAGGGCTATCATGATCAGCAACTTCAAATTATTTGGTAGGCAGAGTAGCAATGGCTGGGTCGACTACACTCAAAGCAGATCTAGAGGTTGTATCAGATGCCCCATTTTCTGTCGCCACTCTCTGGATCAACCACTCATGATAGAAAGGTCACAATCTTCCCTACCGACCTGAATCTGCTTGGAGAGTTGGGTTGACAGATTCCTCATCAACTTACAGACATCTTGCAACTTGCCGATTTTTCAGTTTTCACCTTATGTGGGGCAGTCTATATTTAGTTATATATGGCCCTGTTAGTAGTAGTGTTACCTGTGTGTATTTCTCTAAGACTTTTTATCCACAGTAATGCAGCAAAAATAAAGTGCTTCAAATATAGCAATGTGCTGCTTGGAATGGAAGGCGTTTTCAGCAACTTCAAATTATTTGGTGGACAGAGCAGTAACGGCTGGGTTGACAGATTCCTTGCCAACTTGTAGACATGTTGCAACTGCCAACAGTTACTTTACACTTCTTACGACGGGTGCTGAGGCCAAAGGTGGAACATTTCAGGACAGATACAGTGATCAGCCTCTTCCTACCTGTCATCTGCTAGTAGGAGAGTATTTCCTCTCAGGTTTTCTGAGGTTTTCTTTTATACCATTTACTGAAATCCACTTGGAATTTCAGTCAAGCATGTCGTATTTTATCGCTGAAAGTCTACAGGACTTTGAGCCACACAGACACACCAGTAGGATGTAACATATGTCAGGGATTTATGCTTTGAGGTACTAGTATATACAATGTAACATGGTATTGAATGGCTTTAAGGCTTGCAGACACGAGATCCAGAGGTCACAAAGTTCGAATCCGGGCATTCCTCGCTAGACATTGTGTCTTATTTTTATTTTTATGACAATTTACCACATTTGTGGAAGGATTGACATAACAGGTGACAATCACCTCTTCAAAGATGTCAACCCTGAGACCAGACTGTAAGGTTTGAACCACTCACACCGGGAAGGTCCCCTACTCTTTTTGATAAGCGCAGTGGGTTCTTTAACGTGCGTGGGGTGTGGCTCTCCCAAACACAGGACCTCCATTTAACGTCCTATCCGAGGGACGTCCCTAGCCGAAGCTAGGTACTCAATTACACCTGAGTGAAGTGAGGAAAGTCGTGTAAAGTGCCTTTCCCAAGGGCACAAGATCGGTGACATGGGCAGGGCTCGAACCCGTGACCTCTTGGGTGTGAGCCGAACGCGCTACCGACTGCGCCACACGCCACGTGCCACAGTGTCCTTTGAAAAGGCACTTAACACTACTATCTTAAGGTGTAAAATAGGTACCTGTCTTTGGCTGGGGAGGTCAAAGGCAGTGGAAGGACAGGGATTGGCTCTACCTTTCAATACCGTGTGCTAGACACAGACGATGAACAACCCACTGCCCCTACGGCCCGAAAAAAGGCTACAGGACTACCTTTACCACTTTTACAGCCTTCACATTGTATCAAGATAATGACAAAAATGTGCAGAGTAAAAAAAATTCCAAGCACGACACCATCAAGTATGGTTCACCTAAATGTCTGCAAAAAGCAAGCATAACACGAAAGTCCAGGTGTTTGTGTGGAAGCCTTCCCTGTGAGGCTTAACGAAGAAAGACGGGGACATTTGCCCTCTGTGCGTTTCTACCAGCAGCAGTTAATCTGAAACTGCCATTGAAGCACTTTGAGGAAAGATGCATGGCAAGATTGTACTATGTGGAAGCTGTTTGAATCACCCTCTGGCGGAAATCTGTACAAACTGGCTGATCCCGTAAAATGTCCCCGATGCGAAAGGATGTCTTGGAATGCTCCTGAAATTTTTCTAGAAACAGCCCTGAAGGAAGTGAACTTTCTCCAAAAGAAAGTCTTCAATCACCCATACTTCTACTGAGCCCAGCTGGGTTGCGTAGATGTGTACAAAATCAGTCAGTAGACTGACAGCAAGGAGGCATGCTTTAAGTGTTGTTGAAACATTATGTCGACATGGACAATTTGTGATGAAATCTCTGTGTAAATTGTTGATCTTGGTATGATTCTTCCGAGCAGAAAACACAAACCTTAAGTTTATTTTCTCTTCTTTCTCAGACATGATCCTCCTGTTTCTCTTGGACAGGAGAAAAGTCAGGGTGAAAAAGTTTATAATTGATTTAATGTGCACACATGCTGTTACGGTGGTACCTGACTTGCTTACGGCATGACATGTTCGTCGTAAGTCGCTGTCTGATTTTGATTTTGTACTACTAAGGCAACACCGACTTAATGTTATGGGTGACATCTATGCGCGCATTGATTTTCACCTGTCCTCAAAAAAAGAAAAGAAAAGAAAAGATCAAATCCTCCGAGGCTCTGGCCTGGCTTTAGGCCTTGGTAGTTTATGGTAGTTAGCGGCAATACAGAGCCGGTGGTAACTCTGGAGGATGGCACCCAGGCTACCAGGGCTCCACGACTCATGAACTCAGTACAAAGGTACAGTGCCGACTCATAAGCCAGCATGTGCCGGCTTGTCGTAACATCGCTGTATGTACTGCCACAAATTCACAATACCAGCTTTATATTCCTGTGTTTTAGTTTAGTACCATTTTTATTTTTGGCCAGAATTTTTTTTTTTTTATGCGCCCGCGCGCACTAGTTTGGGGGTGTTCTAGGATATCGGTGTGGCCTAAGTTGTAGAATTTTTCAGCCAGCTGTGACAGAACCAACCACCAACAAGGATCGAACTACATTGTAAAACAGCTGAATTTTGTACAACACACACAGAACTATGCCAAGAATGCCCTAATCTTGCGATCCTAGGACGATTGTCCCATGAATGTGACCGGGCCTCTCCTCTCTTTTATCATTGTCAAAATCAAAACCTTGACACCGAGCTACACTTGAGAGCTTTTCTTTTATTTCTGCGAGCTAAGGCTCAGGCAATTCAAGGTTCAGACAGGTCAATCCAGATAACACTGACTTTCAAACGTAAGTAGACGTTTGAAGTACAAGATTCTGCCAAAATCTCACACTATAAGCTGCTAATAGTGCTCTACCCCCATAATTGTGGCCGGTATTTCAATCCCTTACAGAAGGGCTTAAGGGAAAAGAATGTCGTGTTTCCTGTTTCAGTCCTGAAAAAGTTAGGGTGGGTAGGTAGGGATTGTCTTTTTTATTAGACTTT